ACATAGGAATATAGTTTGTGCAAATCATGGCCCCCGGGGGTAGGGTGGGGCCAAAATGGCCGATCAAAGTTTTACATAGGAATATATAGGAAAAATCTTTAAAAATCTTCTTCTCAAGAACCACACGGCCAGGAAAGATGAAACTTATGTGGAATCATCATCAGGTAGTGTAAATTTAAGTTTGTTCAAATCATGACCCCCAGGGGTAGGGTGGGGCTAAAATGGCTGATCAAAGTTTTACATAGGAATTTATAGAAAAAATCTTTTTAAAAAACTTCTTCTCAAGAACCACTGGGCCAGGAAAGATGAAACTCATGTGGAATTGTCCTTAGGTAGTGTAGATTCAATTTTGTGCAAATCATGACCCCCAAGGGTAGGGTGGGGCTAAAATGGCTGATCAAAGTTTTACATAGGAATTTATAGAAAAAATCTTTTTAAAAAACTTCTTTTGAAGAACCACTGGGCCAGGAAAGATGAAACTCATGTGGAATTGTCCTTAGGTAGTGTAGATTCAATTTTGTTCAAATCATGACCCCCGGGGGTAGGGTGGGGCCAAAATGGCCGATCAAAGTTTAACATAGGAATATAGTTTGTGCAAATCATGGCCCCCGGGGGTAGGGTGGGGCCAAAATGGCCGATCAAAGTTTTACATAGGAATATATAGGAAAAATCTTTAAAAATCTTCTTCTCAAGAACCACACGGCCAGGAAAGATGAAACTTATGTGGAATCATCATCAGGTAGTGTAAATTTAAGTTTGTTCAAATCATGACCCCCGGGGTCAGGGAGGGGCCAAAATGGCTGATCAAAGTTTTACATAGGAATTTATAGAAAAAATCTTTTTAAAAAACTTCTTCTCAAGAACCACTGGGCCAGGAAAGATGAAACTCATGTGGAATTGTCCTTAGGTAGTGTAGATTCAATTTTGTGCAAATCATGACCCCCAAGGGTAGGGTGGGGCCAAAATGGCCGATCAAAGTTTAACATAGGAATATATAGAAAAAAATCTTCTTCTCAAGAACCACTGAGACAGGAAAGATGAAACTCCTATGGAATCATCCCCTGGTAGTGTAAATTTAAGTTTGTTCAAATCATGACCCCCAGGGGTAGGGTGAGGCCAAATGGCCGATAAAAGTTTTAAATAGGAATATATAGGGAAACCTTTTAAAATCTTATTTTCAAGTACTTCAAAGCCATGCTTAGTGATATTTATAGGGACTCATCATTATGTAGTGTAGATTCTAGTTTGTTCAAATCATGACCCCCTGGGGGGTAAAATTCAAGCCCCTCCCCCCCCCCCACCCACCCACCCACCCTCTCAGTGAACTTTCAGTTCTAATCTGAAATGTGCTTTTTCTTAGCCAATTGCTCAGGTGAGCGATGTGGCCCATGGGCCTCTTGTTTCCTTTCTTTTTTTTTAAATTATGAGATAAACAGTCAGAAACAACATTGATTTAAATGATATAAATAATTGAGGATGTAGAACGTCAAAGAAAAGAGGAAATATTTCATTCACTCATACCTTTTTCGTAATCTATTTTGTATTCTTGTACATCCTGTGGTTCATAAAATTCCTTATTATTTGCAGAGAAACCTAAAAATACATATCATGATATTATAAAATTGTCAGCTGTCGAGGAAGTGATGAATATCACAAAAACAAAAACATCTCGCAAAAACATTTCAGTTCCTTCTCTATATAAATATATTATTTGAAAAAATAAATTGATTTATTTTGACTTATTTTGTTTAATCATTGCATTTCTGTTTTAAATATTGTTGAAAGGAATAAAATGAGTTCACATCTCGGACTGAAAAAATCATACGTCTACACAAAAGATGCAACATTATTTGCCTGAAAATTGCATAATTTGACAAGTAACTCAAAAAATTACATTAATGTCTCATAGTTTTCTTTCGCTATTTTAAAACTACAATGTACTTCCTACAGTTCACCACTAAAGTCATAAAAAGCTCGATACAATAAAATGTATTGTATATTTAGATTTTGAATACCCCAAACATAATACTTCTTTGTGCAAAAGATCACACAATAATTAACATGCAGTAATCTGCACAATTTGATCAATGATAAATAATTTTTCAAACTATTAAACATAAAATATGATTATATATCAAATAAAATATGATAGAAATTAAGGTAATGAACCTACGAGTTACAATTTAAGTGCAAAAAGGTAAAGAAAATCGAACCATTGCTCAGGAAGATTCCCAGTGACCAATTTTCTTTACAATGTAAAGTCGTGATGTTTGAGTACTTAAATGCACTTAAAATAATCCTTGATATTTACTTATTACGAGTGACATGCTTGATATGTCTATGAGAAGTGTAACCCTTAAATAAAACAAGGTCATGTTTTTCAAAATATATTGACCCACTTTTTATACTCAAACTTAGGCCATTGTTTAACATTGAATTGTCTAAGAACTATTTGTTCGCTCGATTATGACAAGCAGCACACGGTAGTGTTGTAAATGGTCGACAAGGGTTGCTTACTTGTACTTGTCACCTGATCTTTTTCTCGTTTTTAAGGGTCTGTTTCGCTTTGCTCTCGATTTGTATTGTTTTGTAGCAAAACACGTTTTGTACGAACACGGATATTGCGAATTTACAGATTAAGCGTAGTTATCTTGGATCCCCTGCTATATAAATTTCAAAATTTTGGTATAAGAACATTCACATATGGAATGCTTTAAAAACTTTCGTTCATTGCGAAGTTGATGTCAGGACCTAGATCTAAATCGTACATAAGATTTAGGCTCCAGTAACTCTTAGATTCGCATTGCTGTCATTCCAAATACTGTATAAGTTGAAATTTAAGCGAGATGCAAATTTAGCGATTTTTACCTAAAATCTGGTATTTTATTTTTAGCGAAAAGTAATTTTAGCGATTTTAAAATGCTTACTAAAGAAGCTATTACAAATAATATGCAATTAATTTTAGTGATATTCAATTTTAGCGATATCAGCACCCTCGCTAATAATGCCAAAATTAAATCCTCGCTAAAAATTCTACTTATACGGTAATACATGTAAAACAATCGTCAGGATATTTTTTCCAGTTATTCTTTATATTTTTTCTGAAGTCTGATGGTGTTCCTCATTTTATCGAGTATTCAGTTGTTTTCCATACATATTCTCCTCTAGATATAATAGTGTACGGGTGGCATTAGTAAGGGCAATTTTTGTACAGATTGTTGGTCGTCTCTTTCCTGCAAAGTGCTTGTTATTAAATGAGAAAATATCTTTAAAGACCTCTTAGATGAAGTATGTAGGAAATGTTATTTTTTCGTCAACGTCATTTAATTTTTTTTTAAATACTAGACTCCAATAAAATCATGCCATTTTACATTTACATGTGTAGAAAGAAAAAAAAACATTTACAGTCTTTTGCATTTGTTTCAAAGAAACACATACACGAGGGTTGTCCGTAAAGTTCGTGAAAAAGCCAAAAATTTAATAAAAGTTGTGTCATAGATATTTATTATTGGCATATTTCTTATTCTTTACTTAATGTGAATTGAATAATGTAAAACTTTGTCCAAATTCAAATATTTAATTACAATTATGGCTTCATAATTAGACTTGGAATGGAGACTCGGAGCACCGCAAAATCTTAATTAAAAATATTTATCACTTTTTTAAATTTCATTTGTATTTCAAAAAATTCTTGGGAAATCTGAAAGAATTTTACATTATGAGGTTGACAGATTGATTGATTGATTTTATACTGTTTAACGTCCCTCTCCAGAATACTTCCCTGATATGGAGACGTCACTATTGCCGGTAAAGGGCTGCAAATTTAAGCCTATGCTCGGCACTAACGGCCTTTGAGCAGGGAGGGATCTTTATCGTGTCACACCTGCTGTGACACGGGGCCTCGGTTTATACGGTCTCATCCGAAGGACCACCCCATTTAGTCGCTTTTTACGACAAGTGAGGGGGTACTGAGGACCTATTCTAACCCGGATCCTCACGGGATAGGTTGACAGAAGTTATCACGTTAAACCTGCAAAATTTGAATGTTCAAAGTTTCAAAATGGCTGAGCAATCAGCGTTACAACTTATTAAGACAGGATCGGAATCGTTCAAAAAAGAGACGTTTTCGGAATAGGTAGAGCAGTGAACAGTCATGAAATTCTGCGTTGACCCCGGAAAACACCTACAGAGATCAATACATTCTGTAAACAATCGGGAAAACATAGCAAAAGAAGTTGTTTACAGGTATTTAAGTGGCATATAATATATATGGACGGAATGAACAGTTTACAGGATGACATGTGTGAAGGAAAACCATTATTCCGAGATTGCAGTGCTGTAAAATATGAATTTCGTAACGTGATCATGCCGCATTTCCGTAAATAAAATCGTCTTTACACGGAAAATGGTTGTCAATGAATGTTTGCAGGATATGAGAGAGACACTGTTAAATATTATTTTAAGAATGAACCATTGAACATTTTATGCAATATTTTCTATGACAGGTCAAAACGACATAAGAAATGTATTGAGGTAAACGCTGACTATGTTGACAAAAGTTACTACTGCTCGTATTTAGCTTTTGACGTCGGTAACGTCAAGAATTTTCGTTTTAGTGCTCCGGGTATGAGTGTGCGTCTTTTTTGTATCTGATAAAATTATAACTATTTGTGCTTTGTTTTTTTGACAACTTGCCCATTTTTGAAATGAAACATGAATTTAATGAAAATAATAGTTTCAAATATTTTGTCAATGTTTTTCCGTAATTATCAATGTTGTCCACGAACTTTACGGACATGTATATAAAAAGTTCATAAAAAATCTAGCCTTATACATTCTAAAACATGGGATTCTGGGATTTCTAAAATGAAACTAACAAATGTTTAAAGATAGCGTAACTTTACGATAATCAAACGCCATTATTGAAATATTTCCGCATTAAACATGTTGTTAAAGTAACACAGAGGAAGTTAATTCTCCTGCTGAAGTCAACGTTTGCTAAGTGATAAGGATTTATGGGGACATAACGTCTTGACTCCCAAAATGGGTCTGATTGTGTGGACGTTAGTTCTCTGTGTTCTGATGTACGAACCTGTGACTGAGTCCTGTCCTAGTGTCTGTAGCTGTCGAAGGAGTGCCTCCTGTGATGGGACATTTGTGAACTGTTATGATAGAGGGTTAACTGAAGTACCTACCAATATCCCCATAGATACATGTAGCTTGTAAGTAACTGTTTCAAAGCATTCCTAGTAAGTAGAACAAAAAAAATGAATTCTTGTGTTTTACTTGATGTTTGATGTTCAAAGTGATGTTACCTTATAATAGCCATCAGTTTAATGGTGATATTTTGATTAAAATATGTCAAAAATTATACACTGAAGCATAGATAATATTATATTCTTTTATAATATATGAATGCAATTTCCACCATGCTAGTCAATATAAATGATAACAAGTAGCATGAATCAGCTACACAGGGGACCAATCATGAAGCAGATAAACAAGCTTCAAAATATATAGGAGTTCTGGATTTTAAAGTTGGAGTGTGTGGTTCATATGGTGGCATATTTATGCCATCCACATATTCTTTGTCAACATAGCATATCATGTCAAATCAAGATAACTTTCTCGTCAAGTCATGATAACTTTCAGGTTTGTCGTCAAACACCGACTTTATATCTTGTCCAGTCAAGATAAGCTATCACATTTTGTTGCAATAGCTATCTTGACATGATGAGTTAAATTTAATTCGCGATACAAAATCCTAATTGATCCTAATCGTAATTGATACAAAATCAATTATCTCTTTTTGTCGAGATAGCTATCGCAAAAATACGATAGCTTATCTTGACTGTACCAAGATAAAAGTCGGTCTTTGACTTAGTTTGAAAACTAAGATTTGGTCATAGTTTAAGTTTTGAAACTTTGATTTATAATTGGAGAAGGAGGTGAGTTGAAATGGCTTATGTGTGTAATATGAGCCCTATTTGAGTCATACTAGTAGTGCAGCCTCATGACCACTTTTAAATTACATGTACTTAATACATAATTATAATATTCATAATATTTCTAATTATTTTAAATAACATTACAAGCATTTACATTGTATCTATGTTTGATTGTATTAGAAGTAATCTAAAAACTGCAGAATTAAACATTACTGAAAATATAACAGGTTACTCTTTTTTACGCTAGCTGTACATAGGCAGTAAATGTACGTTGCATTACTCAGTGTTTGTAAGAAAGATAAATAATTCTGAAAGTACTTTCCTAATCTTTTTTTTTGCTTTAAAGACTTAGGGTTTTCAAAGGTTTACTCAAAATTGTACATGAAAAATACATTTTTAACAAACCACTATGTTTTTGTCCAACTTCTCAAAGTTGAAAATTTTCCTTTTTCTCCCACATTTCCTCTTTTACTTTCCGTTCCTTTCTTTCCGGTCTCCTTTACTAAACTGCTCATGCAAGGTAGGTAATCCAATCGTTTTTCAACAGAGTCTTGCAACAATTCAATCTGATATTTTACCTAAAGTCTTAAGAGTCTACCCATATATTTTTTTAAAGTATCATTTTATTAAAAACAGTAAAAATTGGGTCACGGAGCACTGTGAAATTCGACTAATTTATTAACTTTCACTTAGTATCTTTAGCTATACCTCCAATAAATGAAGATAAAACGAAATGATATTTACATGCTTAAATTAAGGCTTCCCGAATTACTTAGGATGCTATCAGGTAATTTAATATGTCGCTCCCTTTGAAAGATATCAATTTCTAAATGCATATAGTCTTGATTAAAAAGGGCAAAAGACATGACGTTGGGGAATGTCACGGAACAGCGAGTAGTAATAAGATTTAGCTTTGCATTCGGGAAACTTATTTAACAAACTTAAAGCAATCTGTATAAACCAGGAAATGTATAAAGATAAACAATGTACTTGTATAAATGGGATATACAATATTTGAGTGGTATAAAGTTTGAATCGAAAGATGGATGGTCTGCAAAGAAACAGGTTAAGGTAAAAAATCTTGTCAAAAGAATTTGGAACGTCATTGAGCGAGACGTGCGTTTCACTGATGCGGAACTAATATAATAGAGTTAAACAGTAGAGAACCTGAAAACGCTGACAATCTAGTTTAAGCTTTTTGCACAATTGTTGGCAAACTAGGTGTTAAGAGTTTCGGATACGTTTTTACGAATGGAGAAGACGATATACACCGTTTATGAAACTCAAAAGAAGAGTTATTTTGAGAAACTTTCTCGACGTTGATTTTGTCGTTACAATATTTGTTAACCGTGCTACGTAGTAACATAACATGTTGCTTTGAAAAAATTGCTAACCTGCGTTCTATTAATATTTGATAAAATCGAATTAAACTCCATACTTCGACAAGAGCTCAAGTGAGCTTTTCTGATCACATTTTGTCCGGCGTCCCTCTGTTTGTCCGTCTGTTCGTCTGTCTGTGTGTAAACTTTTCACATTTTCGACTTCTTCTCTAGAACCCCTGGGTCAATTTCTACTAAACTTGCCACAAAGCATCTTTGGGTAAAGGGGATTCAAATTTGTTCAAATGAAGGGCCACACCCTCATTAAAGAACAGATCATCCAGAAATAGTGAAAATTTAGTAGCATGTTTTAAAAATCTTCCTGTCAAGATCTACTGTGACAAGAAAAATGACACTTATGGGGAAGCATCCTCAGGTAGTGTAGATTTAGTTTTGTTCTAATCATGACCCCCGAGAGTAGGGCGGGGCCACAATGGCCGACCAAATTTTACATAGAATTATATAAGAAAATTCTGTAAAAATCTCCTTCTCAAGAAAAGCAAAGCCATATTGATTGATTATATTTATATGGAAGCATTCTCGGGAAGTTTAGATGTAGGGTTTTGCAAATTAAACCCTCTTCCCTTTAAAAACGTGGGTAGGACTACTTTTGGGTTTAAACTTTTCAATAGAAAAATAATGTCTTCTTTTTTCCTAGCCAATGTGCTCAGGTTAGCGATGTGGTTCATGGCCCTCTTGTTTGCCAAAATATATTATTAATAATTGTATGACGATAAGGAACATTGTCTACGTATTTTTTGAATGAACCCTTCTAGAGGAGTATTTTCAAGAATTCCCGAAACATAATAACGCTTAGGGCTTTGCAGTCTCAACAAATTCTTCGCATATGAAATTTATTTTTTATCTAAGTTTGAGTCCAGTGCAGATGAATTTTTTTTTCAAATAAATCAATTTAGTAGTTTCAATTAATTTTCAATTTAATGTAGAGAATAGGGGCCTAGAAACTATGTTTTTTTCATACAAGTACTTAATCGGTAGGAATAAAATTTTGCTTTTTGTGATTTTTAGTGTAGAGCACAAGAAAATGCTTATATTGTTAAAAATAGAAACCATCAGAAAACGCTATCTATAAATGTTTAAAACCCACTCCTTTACTATATTCCATATTTAATCAATTTCCTTTTGATGGAATAAACTTGTATAAATAATGTTAAATGAAACAAATGTACTTTGTTCATTCATTTCAAAAATCTGTTTTAGGTGGTTAAATTTCAACAAGATAACCATTATTCAGACCAATGCCTTCAATGGTTTGTCAAATGTACAGTTTATGTAAGTATATATTAATCATCTCTAACTATCTTCTCTAAATACCTAATTCAATTATCTGTTGATTTTATGGGTTCGTATCTAATCTACTCATAGTAATTCTTTTATTTAACATTTGAGCATGATAACAATTCATTTTTTTAAGATTTAAACTAAGGTGACACCTGAGTAAATTCAGGTGACAAATTGCTATCTCTTTACTGCCGTCGTTGTGCGTCTGTACGTTGTCCGCCGTGCGCTAAATTTGAATATTTTCATCTTCTTTTCTTCAACCACTCAACCAATTTCAACCAAATTTGGAACAAAACATAATGAGTAAAGGGAAACAACAATTGTTAATTTCCTGGTCCCTGATCCCCTGGGGCCTGAAAGGTGGGACCAAAAACATAGAAATTAATGCAATCGTTAAAAATCTTCTCTATACTCGTGGACATCAAGGAGTCAAACTGTTGGTTTGATTGTAATCAGCATTGAATCTTTTACCATAATTTTGAAATTCATGACCACAGGGCCAGGAGTTTTGGCGGTAGGGTGGGGCTCTAATAATTATATACTGTAAAACGAGAATATTTAGCACACAACTAATTTTAGCGCCTTTGGCGGAGGAGCCCATGAACGCTTAAATTTATATATTGTGCGCTAACAGATTTCTTAATATTATATTTTGTATGTGTTCAAAGCTTTCACAGTGTAAATGTATAAATTTTAAATTGGAACGCACAATAACGTAATTCCGAAAGGTCTTTGGATTTTATATACACACAAGCACTGTACATATACATAGAAGGAAAAAGTTATGTCAAATAATAATTTAATTGAACTATTGTTACCACGATATTTGTTACCCGTTATTTATCATTAACACCTTCAAAGTTTTGATTCTCGACGTGTCAAACATCTATTGCCTCGTGGTATACAATGCAATCAAGCATGGCGATTGATTTTGCAGACCGTTTATCCAAATAACTTTTCTTCTACAGTGCAGGGAACTAATTTTGTTACATAAACCAGCATCAGGATCAGCATAAGTAGGATCAGGATAGAGCTAGCATCAGCATCAGCATTTAAAAAAACAGCATTACTTGGATCAGCATCAGCAAGCAAAGGATAGAACTAGCATTGACCTATTTTAAAACCAGCATTGACCTACTTAAAATCAGGATTATCCTGGTTTACTAAAACTACAGATTTGATTTTCACAAAACGAAACCGCAAATAGACATTCCTATTTCAGTCGGAAATAAATACAAAGAATGTATTTCTTGCAGACAAATTGGCCAATATAATCCTAAGATTATTATTAAATTAATTCAATAGCCATAACCTCGTGATATTTTCAAATCTGAATCAGCTGATCACCAAACGCTATGGAGTCTACTGGTGAGGCCACGCCACGGATTGCTGATATTGAGATCGGTGATAAAGGGGTAAGTAGTAAGGCTTGCACATGAAAAATCAGTTAAACAATATAATTAAAGTATGATATTATGAGTATGACTAATTACTACAAAATTCAATTGGGTTTTATGGGCATACACATGCTACGAAGTTTTTCAATCCGAATTTCCTCTAAATTTACGGAAGTCAGAAATAAAAGTTGCAGTGCTTTTGTCGAGATTATCTGCAAACAATTAATCATAGACTGATGTGTAATGAACAAAACGTAATAATTAATCCAATGCAATAGTTGATTTTATGTTAATGAATCTGGTGAAAATATTTTTTTAATGCGAAAGTTCTTAAACTTTATAAAAACTTGTGCAGAAAAATGAATTTGTGTATGTACAAAAAATCATTGTGAAATAGCTAAAATAATTATGATATATATAGGAGAGATGATCTGTGCTTGAAAATATGCATACATTTATTTTAAAACCTTTTCACTACATATTCTTTTCCATGTTTGATGAATAGCATCTTCATAGTAGAAAATTGTCTATACAAATTAGTTTGTATGTCCTTAGCTGCAGATCTGTAGCTCTCAGAAAAAAATATATATTGATAGACTGGAGAGCTACAGTGCCACCCATTGAAAAAACTATATATTTATTGCACACAAAAAGTGTGCTCGGTTCTTGATTAATTCTTCCAAATTCTTACCTCAATTGCAAAAAAGGAAAGATTTCAAAAAATTCCTTTATCCTCAATCAAGTACTCTCGTAGTTGACATCTGAACGAAGCATATTGGACCGAATTATCTTTGAAACCAAAATGGCAGTATTAATAAGCGAAATGTTCGAGGACTACAATATTAGGGTCAGGAGGACTATTAACAACAATTATGAGGAATGTTTGGTTGTGGAAACAGCGAAAGAATATGTTAGGAACACATGGTTAGTAATATGTTGAGATTACAGTTTTAAAAACATGGAGAAATAAATTGAGAACCAAGTGCACTTTTTTGTGTGCAATAAATATACAGTTTTTTCAATGGGTGGCACTGTATCTCTCCGGTCTATCATATATTTTTTTTCGGAGAGCTACAGATCTGCAGGTAGTATGTTCTGTATGTAGAATTTATTTTTTAAATGTACTTGATTCCATTTATACCCTTGCAAATAAGATCTCATTCAATTAAATACACAAACTTTAATCAATAGGAATTAAGTCTATATAATTATACATGTATATGCTATAAATAATTATTTGTGTTTTTCCCAAATTAAAATTGTGGGAGATTAAAAAAAAATAATATTATTATTAAGGTGATCAATCATCAATAAATAATTCTTGTCTTCTTTGTATTTTTATAGAAATGGAGTGCTATGAATAGTCCACAGTTTTGTTGCTTCATCACCGCACATAAGAATCTAGATCTAATTCATTCATATGAAAACGCCAACACGTTCCGGTGAAGGGCTGCATAATTTAACCTGTACTCAGCACTAAAGCCTTTGAAAAGTGAAAGATCTTTTTCGAACCAACACCTACATGAACTGCAACACTGGAATTCGGTTTATATGGTTTCATTCAAAGGACCGGACAATCTACATGCAGTGATGTCGGAGACTGATGATTCGAACAAAATTCTGCTTTTTAAAAAAGACAAGTGTTCTTCATTCCTAAAAGTAGAGGGTAGGGACAGTAGAGGACATGAACAGTATGATGTAATGGTGGATTTATAACTTACAATAAAAAAATTCTAGAAAGTGAATTTGTTGAAAGAAACTACTGGTGATAAAGAAAAACAAACTTCATTTGTTCATGCGAACACCATGATTCTATTTATTTATTTATTTGACTTTATTGACATAATATAATACAAGTGAAAAAGAGTGAATATGGGACATGAATTGTAAAACTATAAATCTAATAATTCAATGATTACACTATTTCATAAAATTCTAAAAGATGTTATGGGACACTTTGTAATTTCAGTTATATTATAATTTCATTGGTTAACTTGGCATTGACTATAAATAAATTGTAATTTTTAGACACTGGAAATTTTGTTTTTATTGTTTCCATGAAGTTAAAATTTTACATGTGTACTTTGTTGTTCTACAACAAACATAAAATAATCTTTGTTTTGTCTCCTACTTCAAATATATTGTGCCCTAATACAGCACTATTAGCTTCTAAGGAGTGGTAGAAGAAAAATTTGGTAAAGATGATATAAGATTTTGCTAAATTTTCAGAAAATGAACATTTTACCAAGGCTGTTAATTAAGACAGAACAGAAAAACAGATAATAGAAAATGTTACTGTAAATTTCATGTTAAGCATGTTATTTTAAGTTTTCATTTTTAAAATTGCGAAATTTGTTTTGTACGGTACTTAATTAACAGTTTTAATTTCACATGTATATCATCAAGATGAAAAGAATTATCTGGCTAGCAGCAAACTCTTTATCTATGGTACACTAGAGCATATATAAATATTGGATGATTTAAACTACTGGCTTAAGCAATTAGGAAAATGTATTTATAACACTGTCTAGTATCAAGAGTTAAGGGAAGAAATATCTACACAGTAAAACATGGTTATAACGAACACGCTATAAGGCCAAAAGAAAATATACTCTTGTTTCCTGTCCCCTGACCAAAAAAATTAGGGTAGGTAGGTAGGGAAAAAATTTTATTTTGGGAAAAAATTTTATTTTGAAAACTGAATGAATGCAGAACTGCCAGAACATATAGTATGTAATAACAAGAAAGTTTGTTAATAAAGATTTATAAAGTAAAGGTATCCTGTACACTTATGATGTATTAGTTCTGTAAATATTTTTGGTCAACTTTAGTACTTTAGGAAAATAGTAACCCAAAAAATGAAAATGTAATAAAAACTTTTAGGGTCGGAGGGTAAATTGTAGGGTAGGATGGGTGACAGGAAACAAGAGTATTTTTTATTTCGGCCTAATGAATTCATGCTGATGGTGGAGTCATTTTCATTCCCTGTACTGGTTTTAAAATCCTATGGATAGTGAACATAATTTTAAAATGTCAAAAAGCGTGCACGTGTTTCCCAGGCATTTAAAATACTACAAGCTTATTTTTCTATGTATTTAAATGATTTACTTTAGTCTAAAATACCCTAAAAACAATGTGTTACCCCCACATTAAGTCTCTTATTGCAGATTTATAAATATGGAATTTTCCAATTAAAGTTTTAAAGAATTAAATCCAAATAAAGAAATGTTTTTATTTAAATTCAAAATATTAAGAATTAAATGAATCAGGACACACCGGTTTTACTATTTTTGTTATTACAATTCATTAATCTTGGCACATCAGTGAAAATTTACCAGTCATCAATAAGTGTTTGATATTCTTTTTCAAGTGTTCTAAAAAATCTATTTTTAGAGTATTCAAGAAAATGCAATTAAGAATCATATATTCTTCATTCAGCTTCAATAACAACACTACATGTAACAAAAATATTGCCTATTTACATGGAATGTTGGTGTCCTCAAAAATAAAATATCAGGGGCAGTATTTTTTAAAAAAAATGTATATACTAAAAATACAACTTGGATAGAATATCATATAAACATGTTTCTCTCA